GGCAGAGAAGATAAGTGACTTGCTCAGAGTTATAAACCACCAAGTGGTGGAGTCAGTTTCAAACCCAGGTAGTCTGGCCCCAGCACCAGCATGCTTAACCACTGAATCCTATTGTCTCCCCAGATGGCCCTGGCCGAGTGCCCAGCAGAAGGCGTGGACCCCATGAGTGATCCAGAAACACCATTTTCCTTCTTCCTGTCTTCCTCTGTTTAAAAATTCTTCAGGGACTATTATTGAGAGAAGAGCAGTCACCCAATTTAGAAACTCCTTGGCCAGCCGTTGGGGCGCGCGCGCACGCGGGCAAGTTTTCTTTCTTTTTTGCCTTTTTTCCCCCCTTTTCCAAGTCTACTGACAAAGAGACAAGTTTTCGTTTCTTTCATTTTTTAAAATTTTTTTGTGGACAGAGTCTTGCTCTGTTTCCCAGGCTGGAGTGCAGTGGGGAAATCTCGGCTCTCACGCGAAACCTCCATCTTCATCTGGTTAAGCCGATTCCTCCTCAGCCTCCTGAGTAGCTGGGATTACAGTGCCCAACCACCCAAAGCCTGGGCTAATTTTTTTTTATTTTCTTTTAATTAAGACACTGGATTTTCACCATGTTGACCAGGCTGGCCTCCGACTCCTGACCTCAATGTGATCTGCCTGCTTGGCCTCCCAAAGTGCTGGGATTACAGGTTGGACCGCTGCACCTGGGCTAGAGGCAGGTTTGTCTTTTTTCTTTTCTTTCTTTTTTTGGAGATGGCAGTTTCACATCCTTGTTGCCCAGACTGGAGTGCAAGGGCCACGATCTCGCTCACGCACAGACCCGCGACTCCCCAGGTTCAGCCATTTTCCATGCCTCAGCCCTCCTAAGTAGCTGGGAATTACAGCATGCGCCACCTATGTCTGGTAGATTTTATGTATTTTTAGTAGTGACCCAGGGTTCTCCATGTTGGTCAGGTTGGTCTCGAACTCCCGACCATCCAGTGATCCGCCCACCTCGCCTCCACCAAGTGTTGGCGATTCACAGCGTGAGCCAAACTGCCCGGGCGCTGAGACAAGTTTTCTAATGGACTCAGAGCGTTGTTGTAAAAGGGTATAGCCATGCTGTGGCAACCCAGTTGCGAGCACCGTGTAACTTAATTCCTTCTAGGAAGGTTATAATCAAACGCTTTTGTTCCTCTTTGCGCATTGTCCTCAGGCTTTGTGTGCCGCACGGCTGACGACCAGACGCCGTCCCCCTCCGCCACCAGGGCTCAAGAAGGAGGTGTGTGTTGCCTATTGCACATTCAAACGACAGTCTCACTGGGTGGAACTTTGTCCTCCGCAAATTATGGCATGCTGTGAACTGTATGTTCTTATCGCGGAAACAGTCTCTTGCGAGATATAACTAAGTTAAAGCTACTGGTAAGTAGCGCCTAACCCAATACGACAGTTGTCTTACAAGAGCAGAGAAATTGGCGGCTCAATGCTATAGGTCCCAGCCACTTTGGGAGGCTGAGTGGGCAGATCACAAGGCAAGAGTTTGGAGAGCCCAGCCTGGCCAATCTCAGTGAAAGACCCCGTCTCTACTTAAAAATACAAAAAATTAGCTGGGCGTCCTGGTGTTGGGCAGCACTGTATTCCACTCTGGCGGCTAAGCAAGAAATCACTTGAACTCGCGCAGGCGGAGTTGAAGTGAGCCAAAGCATCACACCACTGCACTCCAGCCCCGGCAAACAGAAGAGACTCTGTCTCCAAAAAAAAAAACGAAAAGAAGAAGGAAGAAGAGAGAAAGTCTGATCCAGTCAGTGGTTCAATGCTGTAAACCCAGCACTTGGGAGGCCAACATGGGCAGGGATTACTGAGGACCAGAAGTTCAAGATCCAGCCTGGGCAACATGGCAAAACCCCATCTCTACAAAAAATACAAAAATTAGCACAGGTGGTAGTCCCAGCTACTTGGGGGGCTGAGGCCAAGAGAAATTGCTTAAACCTGGGAGGCTAAGCTGCCAGTGAGCCCAAGACGCGTGCCACCGCACTTAGGGCTGGCCTGACAAAGTGAGACCTTGTCTTAAACAAAAAAAGCACTGAGTGTGGGTAGCTCACACTTATAAATCCCAGCACTTTGGGAGGCCAAAGCGGCGTAGACTCACCTGAGGCGCCACGTTTGAGCCAGTGGCAACATAGAACAACTCTTCATTAAAAAAAAAATTAGCTGAGCATGGTGGCGGGTGCCTGTAATCCCAGCTACTCGGGAGGCTGAGGCAGGAGAATCCCTTGAACCCAGGAGGCAGAGGTTGCTGTGAGCTGAGATGGCACCACTGCACTCCAGCCTGGGTGACAGAGTGAGAGTCCATCTCAAAAAATATATATAAATAAAAATTAACATTAAAAAATCAGCCAGGCATGGGGTACATGCTTGGAGTCCTAACTACTCAGGAGGCTGAGGTGGGAGGATCCCTTGAGCCCAGGAGTTCAAAGTTACACTTAAGCTATGGTCATGCTACTGCACTCCAGTCTGGGTGACAGAGAAAGATGCTTTCTGTAAAAAAAAAAAAAAAAGGAGAGAAATTTGGTCACGGACACACAAGGAGAATGCCATGTGATGATGGAGGCATAGATTGGAATGATACATCCGAAAGCCAAGGAATACCGAGGATTGCCCTCAACCACGGGAAGCTTGGAAGAGGCAGGAAGAATTCTTCCCTAGAGCCTTCAGAAGTAGTGCAGCACTGCCAACAACTTGATTTTGGACTTGTGAACTCCAGAAGTATTAGATAACAAATTTCTGTTGTTTTGAGCCACCCAGTTTGTAATAATTTGTTATGGCAGTCCTAGAAAGCTAACACACCCTAAACTTAGAGGAGTAAAGCAAAAAGGTTTCTTAGATCTCAATTCCATGGGTTGGCTGGGCTCAATTGGGTGGTTCTTCTGTTCCATGTTGTGTCAGCTGGGGTGAGCCAGGTTGCAGTCAGCTAGAAGCTGGGCTGGGGGCTCACTTACATGGCAGGCAGTTGGTTCTGGCTGTTGGCTGGCATACCTTGGTTCTCTTCCATGTGGCCCCTGACCTCCACATGGCCGTTCTATCAGGATGGCCCAGAGTTCTTTACATGGCATCTGGCTTCTAGGAGTAGAAACAGAGGACAGCAGAAACAGAAGCTGCAAGGCCTGGGTGGGGAAGTCCCAGAACATTACTTCCAATGCATTCTATTGGCCAAAGCAGGTCACATGGCCCATCTAGAGTCAAGGAAAGGGAAAATATACTCCACTTTTTTTTTTTTTCCTAAAGAAATGGGATCTTGCTCTCTAATCCAGACTGTAGTATAGTGGCACAGTCACAGCTCACTGCATCCCTGAACTCCTAGGCTCCAGAGATCCTCCTACTTTGGCCCCCCATGGACTCCACTCTAGATGAGAGGTGTGACAAGACAATGCATGGAGAGATGTGATGGGATAGATGGTTATGGACATCTTTGGAAGCAACCTACCAGAGTGTGTGAATGTTTGGGGGAGGCCTCCGCCAAGGACCCCAGAGATGTAGTCCCTGTTGATGGGGCTGCTGACAAGGATAGAATTCCTCTGTCTAAGCAGGAACCCTCCAAATCCATGAGCTGCAGGCTCAGCTCAGCCATCAACTCACTGGGTGACCTTGGGCCAGTCCCTCATTCACTGAATGATAATTCATTAAACACCTACTATGTGCCAGGCCCAGAACTAGGCACTGGGGTCCTGATAGTGAACAGACCAGGTTTCCGTGGAACTTTCAGTGTAATGGAAGAAAAAAGCCAGGCATTGTGGGTCACGTCTGTAATCCCAGTCCTTTGTGAGGCCAAGGAGGGTGAATCGCTTGAGGTCAGGAGTTTGAGACCAGCTTGGCCAACATAGTGAAACCCTGTTTCTACTAAAAATACAAAAATTAGCCAGGAGTGGTGACAGGGGCCTGTAATCCCAGCTTCTCAGACTGAGGCAGGAGAATCCAGACCGAGGCAGGAGAATCTCTTGAACTCAGGAGGCAGAGGTTGCAGTGGGTCGAGATCACACCACTGCACTCCAACCTGGGTGACAGAGCAAGACTCCATCGCAAAAAAAAAAAAGCACATAACAAAAAAAAAAAAGAAAAGAAAGAAAGAAAAGAAAAAAGCACGTAACTAGACAAACTAGTCAGAGTGTGACAAGTAGAACTGCTGGGAGTTGGGCTAGAGATTCTCTGAGGATAAAGAGGCTGGGACGAACTTGGAGGGCAGCGTCCTGGAGGATGAGAAGTCCTGCCCCATTCTGGGCCCCATTTTCCTCCTCCAGACATTGAGAGGTGGGTCAGAGCTGTGAATTTCAATTCTGTCCCTTGGAGTCCTGGGGTTTCCCAGAGGCACCTCAGAGACTACTGCAGAAGAGGCTGAGAAGGGCATCTGAAGTGTAAGACCAGTAGGGCTCGAGGCTTCTGGTGGGCTCCTACCATCTAGCTTCCCAGGCACCCTAGGCTTCCTGGAACTAAATTTTCCCAGTGCCCCCTTGTTTCTGAATGGCCCCGATGGGGCCTGGTCTCTGGGGAAACGGAGAAGCCTCCCCTCTGTTTGCTGGACAACGCCCCCGGGAACAGATCCTGGACCAGAATGCTTAGCTGCTCCCTCACCTTTAACCTTGGGCCTGCTTGAGCCTGGAGAGCCCCAGGGGCCCTGCAAAAAGTGCCAGTGTCTCTCGAAGAGCTCAGGGTTTTTGGGGTCAGACCCTCTCCTTCTGTGTGGCCCTTGCCTTTCTGAGCCTCAGAAGGAACCCTACCTCAGTGGGGTAGGCATAGAGGCAGGACACTGAAAGCCAGATCCTCTGAAGCTGGCCTTGAGGTCAACGCAGGGTGGGCGCAATCCCTCTAGGGAGAAATGTCCAGAGAAGTGGCAGGAAAGGCCCAGCCTGCTGGGGGATTTGCCCTGCCCTGGTGCCCCCCCGCCCAGCAATCATTCTGGGATGCTCTGGGCTTAGCCTGCCTCACAGGGGTCAGCAGGGGTGGGGGTCTGAGCCAGCGAGTTAGTCACCAGGCAAATTGTCGACTTTTTCTCAGCATCTTTATTACTGTGTTCAACTCCGATGCTGGACACTGGATGGGGTGGGGTGGGGCCGGAGATGCCAAAAACAAGAAATCCCTTCCCCACTGTGGGCCTCAGTGTGTCCCTGTGTCACACAGGGAGGAAGTCTTCCTCTGCTTCCTTCATCAGGACACCGTGAGGTTCAAAGGTTTTCAGGATGGGGTGCTCAGCCCGGAGGGCCACCCAGCTGTGGTCCTTGCCCCAGGGGGCTCACCATCTGGGAGGGAGACCTGGCCCTGGCCCACCATCAGCAAGTGATGAGAAGGGCAGTTGGGTCATGGCCCAGTGACCAGGCAACATCTGTGAGCCTCTCAGCCACGGGTCTGGCTTCACCAGGCTCCGTCATGGAAGTTGACACCTGGTCGTGTGGGGCAGAAGCGTCCACAGCCCACATTCTGGGCAGGCTTCTTCTAAACCTTCACAGAATCATAGTCCAAGGCTCCTACCCAAGCTCAGAGGGCAGACAGCTGAGCCTCCTTCTTTTTGACCCTGCTTGGGTATTCGAAGAGAGCTAGTGTTGGGGTGGGAGGGCCTCAGCTAAGAGGGGCAGCCATGTGGTGACTCCAGTGAGCTGGTGGCAGAAGCCTCCTTGGGCCACCCAGCCATAGTCCAGAGAGCCGTGAAGAGGTAGGTCAGCAGACATGGCGGGCTGGTCCGGGCACAGCAGGAGCCACCATGGCTTCCAGCACCTTTAGCTGATGGTGTCCAGTGTGGGCTACGGGGAGGCCAGCTGATGCGGAGTCACGCTGGGGAAGATGGCGACAAATCTCTCCCACCTTCTTCTTACCTGCTGGAAGACAGAGGCGGGGGAGGTCCCACGGACTGTGGTGGGCTAGATGTTGTTCCACCCACAGCCACGAGGTGGGGGTAGACCCGAGGGAGAGAAGCACTGCTCATTGGAGACCCTGTCTCTTAGAGGAAGGAGGCAGGGGCCAGGAGCCCGCAGCTCCCCACAAAGGGGTCCCTTTTTCCCTGGGGTGAGAGGGTCACACAGTGTACTTCTGGGAAGTTGCACTGGCCGATCTCCTTGCTTCCTGCTCCATTCCCCTGTCCAACATACTATCAGATTAATCAGCTAAAAACAGCACTCACCACATCGCCCTCCTCCTCTAAAACCTTCAGTGGTTCCCCACTGCCTATGGGATAAATCCCAAATGCCCACAGGGCCCTCTGAAATATGGCTCTGGGGTATCTCTCTCTGAACCCTCATCTCCAGGCAGCTTGGCTGTCATCTTGGTACACAGCCTGGGATGGCTCTGCCTCTGAACTTTTGATGCCCTGGAGTCCCCACCCACCCGCTGTGGTACCCTCCATCCTTCAGCCCACAGCCATACCTGTTGGTACCGCCTCAGCCACCGCCCGCTGCTTCCTCGCTGGGCTTGGATCAGCTGCTCTGTGTCCCCCAGGCTCCCTGGCACCCGCTCCTGGGCAGTGGCATCTGGCCCTTCTGTGCCTCTGTCGAGGCCCTGGGACCTGGACTTCTCTCGCCCCTGTCTGAGGCTTAGCGCCCTGCGGAGTTGGCCCTCCTGGGCCCTCCCCCAGGGTTCCTGCAGCTTTCCATAGGAGGGTCGGGGCCCTCGCAAGGACTGGCTTCGCAGCCCTGTTCCCATGGCTCTGGAGGCTGCAGGCACAGGACTGCCCCTCAGCAAGACACGGCCCTCTGAGGTGGCCCAGTGCCTCCACCTGTCTTACAAGAGATCACTTGGGGGCAAAGGTTGGTACTGCCAAGGTAGCTTTCATAAATCAAAGGGCAGGCCACAGGGTCAAGCATCCCTGAGTCACCTCACCACTCTGCTTCCCCACCTTCTGGGTCAAGGAGTGAAGGACAAGGGGAGGAAATTGCCACTCCCTCCTTCCCCTCCTCTCCTCCTCCTCGCCCTCCCCTTCTCCCTCCTCCTCCCTTCCCCCTCCTTCCTCCCCTCCTCCTTCCTTTCCCTTCCCCCTCCTCCTCCCTTCCCCTCCCCCCTCCCCCCTCCTCCTCCCTTCCCCTTCCCTCTCCTCCTCCTCCTTCTCCTCTAGGCAGCCTTCCCTGACTACCTCATCCCTGAAGAGTTTGTTCTCCTCTGAATTTCTATGGCCCTGGCATCCATTGACACTGAGCACCCATGGCTTAACAGAAAAACAGAGACAGCCTTTTAAGAATTGGGCTGGGCCCGGTGGCTCATGCCTGTAATTCTAGCACTTTGAGAGGCCAAGGCAGGCAGATTGCCTGAGATCAGGAGTTCCAGACCAGTGTTGCCAACATGGTAAAATCCCGTCTCTACTAAAAATACAAAAAATTAGCCGGGCATGGTGGCGGGCACCTGTAATCCCAGCTACTCGGGAGGCTGAGGCATGGGAATCACTTGAACCCGGAAGGCGGAGGTTGCAGTGAGCGGAGATCGCGCCACTGCACCCAGCCTGGGTGACAGAGCAAGACTGCATCTCAAAAAGAAATACGTTTTTCAAAAAAGAATCAGTATGTTTTTCAAAAAGGAAACTAGAACAACCACATTCACAAAGACAGCAAGGAGGATGGCCATTGCCAGGCACTGGAGGAGGGAGGAATGAAGAGTTTCATGGCTGTAGATGTTCATAAGGTGAAGAGTTCCAGAGATCAGTTGCACAACAATGGCTGAAATGGTAAATTTTATGTTAGATGTGTTCTACAATACTGGAGAATTTTTTTTTTTTTTTAAGAAACAAAAGGAAACACGACTGCTCCAGGCTAGGAGTCAGGAGGCCTGGATTTTTTTCCAGGCCCAGCGCTGCGCCTAATGTCCCAGCAGCACAGCACAACCCTTGAGCACTCAAGCTCTGAGGACCGACTGCCTCTGCGTAAACTGTAGCTTCATTCCTTGCAGCCTTGTGACCTTGGGCACATTTTTCTCCTTCATCCGTAAGAAGGACAAATAACTTGGGTAATTGTTGTGCGTATTAAATGTGATCCACAGGGCTTAGCACACAGCAAGCCCTCGAACAAAGAGAGTTGGTGGTTGTATTAGTCCATTCTCCTGCTGTTATTAAAGAAAGATGCTGAGCCGGAGCGGTGGCTCATGCCTGTAATCTAGCACTTTGGGTAGCCAGGCGGTGGATCACTTGAGGTCAGAAGTTCAGGACCAGCCTGGCGAATATGGGTGAACCCATCTCTACTAAAATGCAAAAATTAGGCCAGGTGCAGTGGCTCACACCTGTAATCCCAGCACTTTGGAAGGCTGAGGCAGATCACAAGGCAGGAGTTTGAGACCAGGCCTGGCCAACATGGTGAAACCCTGTCTCTACTGAAAAATATAAAGATTAGCAGGCATGGTGGCGTGTGCTGTACTCCCCGCTACTCGGGAGGCTGAAGCAGGAGAATTGCTTGAACCTCAGGAAGCAAGTAGGTTGAGTGAACCGAGATCATGCCACTGCACTCCAGCCTGGGCAACAGAGCAAGACTCCATCTCAGAAAACAAAACAAAACAGAACAAAAAATTATCCAGGCATAGTGGTGGGCAACTGTAATCCCAGCTACTTGGGAGGCTGAGGCAGGAGAATTGCTTGAACCCAGGAGGCGGAGGTTGTAGTGAGCTAAGATTGTGCCACTGCACCCCAGCCTGGGCACAGAGCGAGACTCTGTCTCAAAAAATAATAATAATAAAAATAAGAAATACCTGAGACTGGGTAATTTATAAAGACAAGAAGTTTAATTAGCTCATGGTTCTGCAGGCTGTACAGGAAGCATAGCAGCTTCTGCTGCTGGGGAGGCCTCAGGAAGCTTCCAACCACGGTGGAAGGCAAAGCGGGGATGAAGCATCTCACATGATAGGAGCAGGAGAAAGAGAGAGTGGCAGGAGGGGCTGTATCCTTTTTTTTTTTTTTTTTTTCCAGACAGAGTCTCACTCTTTCGCCCAGGCTGGAGTGCAGTGGCGCGATCTCGGTTCCTTGCAACCTCCACCTCTCGGGTTTAAGTGATTCTCATGCCTCAGCCTCCTGAGTAGCTGGGACTACAGGTGCCCACCACCACACCCAGTTAATTTTTTATATTTCTGGTAGAGACAAGGTCTTGCTATATTTCCCAGGCTGGCCTTGAACTCCTGGCCTCAAGTGATCTGCCCACCTCGGTCTCCTAAAGTGTTTGGAATAAAGGCATGAGCCACCGTGCCCAGCCTACACACTTTTAAACAACCAGATCTCACAAGAACTCACTCACTATCATGAAAACAGCGCCAAGGGGATGGGGCTAAACCATTCATGAGAATCCACCCCCACGAGTCAACCACCTCCAACACTGGAGACTACAATTCAACATGAAGTTTGGTGGGGACACAAATCCAAACCATATCAGTGGTATTCACTGCTGTGGGCAAATCCTTTCCCCTCTTGGTCAGTCTCATCTGCAAAATGGGTTGTTTCTTTCTTATTTTTTATTTATTTATTTTTTTGAGATGGAGTCTTGCTCTGTCACCCAGGTTAGAGTGCAGTGGTGTGATCTTGGCTCACTGCAAACTCTGGCTCCTGGGTTGAAGTGATTCTCCTGAGTAGCTGGGATTACAGTCACGTGCTACCATGCCTGGCTAATTTTTGTATTTTTAGTAGAGATGGGGTTTCACCATGTTGGCCTGGTTGGTCTTGAACTCGTGATCCACCCACCTCGGCCTCCCAAAGTGCTGGATTACAGGCATGAGCCACCAAACTCAGCCTGTAAAATGGGTTGTTTCAAATATAAGACGAAATCATGAGTGTGGATGCTTCTAAAGGTGAGACTGCCATCAGCAGCTCTTTCCCCCAAGACAGGAAGCCTGGGGCTGGGCCAGCAGATTCCTCAGAATGGTTGTTTTGTTTTTTGAAACAGGGTCTCACTCTGTTGCTCAGGCTGGAAGGCAGTGGCATGATTTCAGCTCACTGCAGCCTTGACCTCCGGGGCTCAAGCGATCCTCCCACCTCAGCCTCCTGAGTAGCTGGGACTACAGGTATGTGCCACCAGGCCTGGCTAATTTTTCTATTTTTTGTAGAGATGGAGTTTCATCATGTTACTCAGGCTGGTTTCGAACTCCTGCACTCGAACAATCTGCCCACCTCAGCCTCCCAAAGTGCTGGGATTTCAGGTGTGAGCCATCACGCCCGGCCTCAGAATGGTAGAATCTGAGTGCTGAAGGGATCCCATACATCTGTTCCATGCTCCTTTTTGTTTTATTTTGCTTATGTATTTCTTTGTTTATTTTAGAGATAAGGTTTCTCTATGTTGCCCAGGCTGGTCACAAACTCCTGGTCTCAAGTGATCCTCCTGTCTCAGCCTCCTGAATAGTTAGGATTATAGGCATGAGCCATCATGCCCAGCTCCTTTTTGTTTTAACCACTGTTTTGAGTCAACCCCTTCACAGATTTCATTTAAAACTCACGATAGTCCTATGATGTGGGGATTGTCATCTCATTTTATAGATCAGAAAACTGAGGATCAGGGAGATTAATCACCTGGCTGGAGAGCATGCCCACTAAGTGGCAGAGCTGGTCAGCCACCCTGGTCAGCCGGGCTTTAAAAACCTGTGCTTCAATCACTCAGGTCTCCTTCCCCAGACTAGGCAGCAGACGCAGGACTGGAAGCCAGCTGTCCTGCCTCCTCCATGTTTGGGGTGCTGCAGAGGGCACCCCTATCCAGGGCCAGGGAAGTGCTGGCTGCAGCTCTTGGCTCACACTAACCTTGTCCCCCAAGGCCTGGCCTTGCCCTCATCCCTTCTGCTCAGTTTCTGAATCTTCCTTGGGTGAAGGGTTGCTTAAAATCTGCCAGGCTCAGCTCCCAGAGGAGCTATGACAGGGCCAGTGTGAAGAGAATGGAAAAAAGGAGCCCTGACCTTCTGCCCCAGCCTGTCCCTAACACTGACTCTGATTTGTACCCAGGTCCTTTAATTTCAACGCTGACAACACTCCAAAGGTCAGCCCTGACCCTGGTTAAAAAGCAACAAAACCATTACACAATCTTCAACGCCCTCACTTCAACACACGTAGTCAACTCAAATCCCCACTCTCACAAAGGTCTGAGCCCAGGAAGAAGTGGCTGACTCACAGACTTTTGAGATGTGGTGGGATGAATCACTCGCTCTTACGTCAAGAACATAGCTGTGGAGTACCCTCTTGCCAAGCATGTAGTCTTAAAACAATTTCCCAAATCCACTGAGGAGAGGGAGAAAAATCTGTGTTCTCCTCCTTCCCTCCTCACTGCTTCTCTGCCTTCTTCACCTGGTATCTCAGACTGATTTGTGTTGCTATAACAGAGACGGGTTAATTTCTAAACAATCATTCATTTGATTCATGGTTCTGGAGGCTGGGAAGTCCAAAAGAATGGCATCAGCCTCCGATGAGGGCCTTTGTGTTATGTCATCCCATGGCAGAAGGTGGAAGGGTAAGAGAAAGCAAAATTGGGCAAGGGCAAGAGGGGGCTGAACTCACTTTTATCAGGAACCCACTTCCTGATAATTGCAGTAATCCAGTCACCTAATCACCTCTTCGCCGTTCCACCTCTTGATAACTGTCATAATGACAATTAGAGTTTGACATGAGTTTTGGAGCAGACGTTCAAACTATAGCACCTGGCAAGCTGTTACTCACCTTTCCAAACTCTGCTTGTGAGTGACACCTCCCCAAAAAGCCTGCCCTGACACCTCCAGGCTGTGTAAGATAGGCAGTCCCCTTTACAGCCCACCCGATAACCCAATACACACAGTAACACAATCATACATGTCTGCCTTACCTCACCAGACTAGGTACCCCCTGAAGGCTAGAAGAACACCTTCATCTCTGTGTCCCCACGACCCAACACAGTAAATAACTGGTATTAAATATTGGAGACTATTAGTTGTCTATTGCTATCTAACAAATTACCCCAAAACTTAGAGACTTAAAACAACACACATTTATTATCTCAGTTTCTGTGGGTCAGGAATGGGGGCGCGGCTTAGCAGGTCTCTGGCTCGGATCTCTCAGAGGCTACAGTCAAGTCTTCTCCAGGTCCTTCTTGGGTGGATCTGCTTCCAAGCTCATTCTTGTGGTTGTTTGCATAATTTAATTCTTTTTGGATTGTGGGACTGAGGGTCTCTGCTTCTTGATTGTTGCTACTTGGGCCTCTCCAAAGACCATCTCACAAAGTGGCAGCTGGCTTTAATCAGAGCAAGCGAGTGAGAGCAAGAGATGGCGAGAAAGACAAGCCGGGATCTTTGGAGACTAACTGCAGAAGTGACATGTGAGACCAGAGCAACTCCGTCTTGGATGCTAATCCACCACGTTGACTTCTTATTAACCCCCATTCTGGGAATGCCTCTAAGATTTCTACCTTTTTTTTGAGACAGAGTCTACTCTGTGCCCTAGGTGGAATGAGTGCAGTTGTGCGATCTTGGCTCATTGCAAGCTGCTCTGGGTTCCACCACATTTTTGCGACTAGCCCTCCTGAGTAGCTGGGGACGTACAGGCGCCCGCCACCAGCGCTGGCTAATTTTGTATTATTTTATAGAGACAGCGGTTTCACCCGTGTGTAGCCAGGATGGTCTTTTTTTTTTTTTTTTTTTTTTTTTTTTTTTTTTGAGCGGTAGTCTGCTCTGTCACCCCAGGCTGGAGTGCTGTGGCCAGATCTCAGCTCACTGCAAGGCTCGCTCCCGGGTTTCGCCATTTCCCCGCCTCAGCTCGGAGGTAGCTGGGACTACAGGGGCGCCGCACCTCGCCCGGCCTAATTTTTTATTTTTTAGTAGAGACGGGGTTTCACCATGTTAGCCAGGATGGTTTCGATCTCCTGACCTCGTGATCCGCCCGTCTCGGCCTCCCAAAGTGCTGGGACTACAGGCTTGAGCCACCGCGCCCGGCCTGCCAGGATGGTCTTGATCCGCCCGCCTCGGCCACCCAAAGTGCTGGGATTACAGATTTCTACTCTATCTACTGTTACCATAAATCCTACCCATAGGCAGATCCATATCACATTCTTGCCTTTCCCTGAGGTCCCAAACTTCAATTGTCTTACACATTCCTGCCCTGTGGTATATAAGCCCTGGGTCTGGGGGTCTATAGCGTGGGGATCCACCAACACGTCTTGCCGCAGCGTGAGACACAGACTTGGCTGCTGTTCCGAAATCTGTATTAAATGTTTCTTTTTGGCTGGGTGTGGTGGCTCACGCCTGTAATCCCAGCACTTTGGGAGGCCAAGGCAGGCGGATCATTTGAGGCCAGGAGTTCGACCCGTCTCTAAAAAAAGTAAATGTTTCTTTTTGGCTGGGTGTGGTGGCTCACGCCTGTAATCCCAGCACTTTGGGAGGCCAAGGCAGGCGGATCATTTGAGGCCAGGAGTTCGAGACCAGCCTGGCCAACATGGTGAAATCCGGTCTCTACTAAAAATACAAAAATCAGCTGGTCGTGGTGGTGCATGCCTGTAATCTCAGCTACTTGGGAGGCTGAGGCAGGAGAATCACTTTAATCTGGGAGGCGGAGGTTGCAGTGAGCCTAGATGGTGCCACTGCACTCCAGTCTGGGCGACGGAGCGAGACTCTGTCTCAAAAAGAAACAACAACAAAAAAATGTTTTTTCTAAGAAACTGAATTTGTCAGCCTCTTTCTTTGGCCTCAGCTTCCTTGGGTTTTGGGGATAGGTTTACACGGACTTGCCGACCACAGAACATGGCAACCCATCACTTGCTTTATTCTGTTCCTTAGAGGCGAGTCGCCAGGTCCAGTCTACCCTCAAGGGGTGGAGATGACACAAGGGCGTGAACACCAGGAGGCTAGGATCATTGGGGACCATCTTGGAGATGGCCTACCACAGACACCAAGGATTCCAGGCCTCCTCCACTGCCTGTGTTTAAAGCCTTGCCCTTTCATGTACTGGCTATGTGCCTTGGGTGAGTGGCTTAACCTCATGTGTCTACAATTTCTCCACTATAACACGGGGATCATGCTTTATTTCATAAAATCTAAGAGGACATCTATGGAAAGGTGGCAGTATTTTATATACCATTAAGAAAGAATATCTGGGCTGGGCACGGTGGCTCACGTCTGTAATCCCAGCAGTTTGGGAGACCAAGGCAGGAGGATTGCTTGAGCCCAGGAGTTTAAGACCAGCCTGTACAACTTAATGACACCCTGCCTGTACAAAAATTAGAAAAAAATTAGCTGGGCCTGGTGGCATGTGCCTGTAGTCCCAGCCACTTGGGAGGCTGAGGTGGGAGGATGGCTGGAGCCCAGGAGGTTAAGGCTGCAGTGAGCTGTGATTGAAGCCACTGCACTCCAGCCTGGGCAACACAGTGAGACCCTGTCTCAGGAAAAAAAATAAAGAAAGAAGGGAGAAAGGGAAGAAAGAAAGAAAGAAAGAAAGAGAGAGAGAGAGAAAGAAAGAAAGAAAGAAAGAAAAGGAAAGAAAGAAAGAAAGAGAGAAAGAAAGAAAGAAAGAGAAAGAAAGAAAGAAACCCATTACCCACTCCTTGGAAGGTACAGCCCCGTTTTAGAGAGGTTAAAATGTGGAGGAAAAAAGTGTGCCTTGAAAGTAACAAAACACAGTAGTATCTATTTCCTAAAGTGAAGTAGGAAAGAGATATTTCCTGTATCTATTCACGTAAATGGCTGATGTCATTTAAAGTTCTGGTGAGGCTTAGATAAACTGGAAGGCTGCAAGCTGGGACAGGCTACCATGTTCCTTATGAGTGAGCCAATGAAAGTGATCTACATCTACCTGCTATGGGCAAGACCTTGTTTTGGTGAACAGAAGAGAATGAGAGACCACATCTGGCTTGGGGGAGGGGAGGATCTAGGCAGGCCTCTTGGAGGAGGTGATATTGGAGCCCAGCCTCAAGAGCCCACTCTCCAGAACCTTGAGAATCAGATATTGAAAGTCTGACTGACCTTGGAAGGCAGCAGGGGTGGGGCATGCCCTCTACCCTGGGAGACTGACCTTTGCGAGTGCGCTTCACCTTTGCACCCCTCCAGAGCTTATACTCATCTCTTCTTCTCTCGGCTGAAATGACAGAAGTATAGTCAATGATGGGCCTGGAATCCAGCCCAGTTGAGTCAGGCCAGCACATAGAATCTTCAGCAAATGTGTGTTCTACCCTCCATGGGTGGGGCCTGAGTCTTCACATATCCTCTAGGAGGATTAGACAAAATTTTAAACCTAGCAGTTAGTACTACTAGACTTTCTCCTTGAAAATATGATGCCCAGTTTGGGTGCGGTAGCTCATGTCTGTAATCCCAGCACTTTGGGAGGCTGAGGCGGGCAGAGCACTTGAGGCCAAGAGTTCAAGACCAGCCTGGCCAACATGGTGAAACCCCGTCTCTAAAAAAAGTACAAAAATTAGCCTTGAGGCCGGACGTGGTGGCTCATGCCTGTAAATCCCAGGACTTTGGGAGTGTGAGGTGGGTTGGGTCACCTGAGGTCAGGAGTTCAAGACCAGCCTGGCCAACATGGTGAAACCCCATCTCTACTAATACAAAAATCAGCCGACTGTGGGGGCACACACCTGTAATCCCAGCTACTCGGGAGGCTGAAGCACAGAAATTGCTTGAACCTGGGAGGTGGAGGTTGCAGTGATCAGAGATCATGACACTGTACTCCAACCTGGGCAATAGACTGAGACTCTGTCTAAAAAAAGTTTTTTAAATAAATAAAAAAAATGATGTTCACCAGAAGTAAGATGAGTGACTGTGCAGATATACATTTATTTAATTTAAAATTGTTTGTGGGCCAAGTGCAGTGGCTCACACCTGTAATCCCAGCATTTTGGGAGGCTGAGGCAGGGGAGGATCACTTGAGGGCAGGAGTTTGAGTCCAGGTTAGGCAACAAAGTGAGTCCCCATTTCTATAAAATTTTAAAAATTGGCCAGGTGCGGTAGCTCACACCTGTAATCCCAGCACTTTGGGAGGTGGGTGAGGGTTGGGGGACGAATCACGAGGTCAAGAGATTGAGACCAGCCTGGCCAAGATGGTGAAACCCTGTCTCTACTAAAAATACAAAAATTAGCTGGGCATGGTGGTGGGCACCTGTAATTCCAGCTACTTGGGAGGCTGAGGCAGAGAATCGCTTGAACTCGGGAGGCAGAGGTTGCAGTGAGCCTAGATCACGCCACTGCACTCTAGCCTGGGTAACAGAGCGAGACTCGTTTCAAAAAAAAAAAAAAAAGTTCTTGTGTTTATCTTCTGTCCCTTATTCCCTCCTCACACCTGTACGAGAGTTGAGTTTAGCACATAGTAAATGTTTAATAGTCAGTGAATAGGAGTGCCCCAGAGGCCAAGCAGAGTCCACAGAGTCCAGTGGACACCACATCCATGGGGGAGGGAAAAGTTAAAGAGATGATACCCGGAACAGGTCAGATTGGGGGCGTGGACCGAGAGGAGCAAATGCTGAGGAATTTCTGAGGCTTTGACAGTGTCCCTGGGCCAGGAAGGAAGACGAGGTGGTGGGAGGATATTGAGCCATTTCTGCAGCACTATGAAAAATGAGCTACTTTCCCAGACTAGTGTTGGGGGGCAGACCTCAAAGCACCCCATTTCAAAGCAGTGTGGTGCTACACTAGAAATAACGCCCAGGGTGTTATGGGAGTCCTAGGAGGGCCCCTTACACCATGAGAGTGGCCTTGGAGGGCTTCCTGAAGGAGACAACGACTGGGTTAAGTCTTGAGAGAGAGAGAGAGAGATGACAGGAAGAGAGTTTATCAGGTGAATCTATTGAGAAAAGGAATCCCATGCAGAGGGAAACAGTCCAAGCAGAGGCAGGAAGCACGACGGGGTAGAGGAACGATGATACCTCATACCACTGGGGTGGAGGGAGGACAGCGTACCAGCAAGTTCAGACAGCATGGTGGCCAAGGCCGGGGCAGTTAGGAACAAGAAGGCTGGAGACATCTAGATGGATGGGAGCTCCCAGACAAAGCTACAGATCCTAGCCAGGCGCAGTGGCTCATGTCTGTAATCCTAGCACTTTGGGAGGCTAAGGTGGGTGGATCACCTGAGGTCAGAAGTTCAAGACCAGCCTGGCCAACATGGTGAAGCCCCATCCCTACTAAAAATACAAAAATTAGCCTGGTGTGGTGGCACAAGTCTGTAGTCCCAGCTACTCAGGAGGCTGAGGCAGGAGAATCACTTGAACCCAGGAGGCGGAGGTTGCAGTGAGCCGAGATGGCGCCACTGCACTCCAGCCTGGCAACAGTGAGACTCTGTCCCAAAAAAAAAAAAAAAAAATTAGCCGGGTATGGTGGCAGGTACCTGTAATTCCAGCTACTCAGGAGGCCGAGGCAGGAGAATCACTTGAACCCTGGAGGCAGAGGTTGCAGTGAGCCAAGATCGCACCATTGCACTGCAGCCTGGGTGACAGAGTGAAACCCTGCCTAAAAACAAAAACAAAAACAAAAACAAAACAACAAAAAAACAAAAACAAACAAAGCTACAGATCCCTCAAAACATAGCAGTTACTGTGAGCCTGGAAACAGCGCACCCCTCTGTGTTTAGAATCCAGAAGCCTGGCTTTACGCTGAGGATCTCATAAGGACAACCCAGATGTCCCCAATCCGCCCTCCAGAGATGACAAAAGAAAGATTTCTCCCGCCAGCATGGACTGAGCAGGAAAGGCATTGGCCAGGAGTGTTTGCAGTGTGGAAACTGCAAGTGTGTTTGGTGGCCCTGTGCCCTTGCCTGTGGCCACTCAAGTACTATTTTTGGCTTGCAGCGAGCCTAAATTCCAATGTTTGCCCCACTGTGTTCCCAGGCTCCTTTAACCCCATGGCTTCTCACCCCTAGAAACCGCCCTGTCTTTTCAGCCTCCTCCTACTTTGGCTGTTCAGTCTGGACAATTCCACTGGGCTCATGGAACCCATCATGGGATCGCCACAAGATGGTCAGACCTTCCACCGGCCGAGGTGGACCAAGGGCTAGTGTCTCCCCTGTGTTCTTAGCCTGCAGAAGTCTCTGTCAATTATGAGATCTGCCCTCTTCTGTCTCCGAGCCTCTGAACATGTCCCTAAGAAGCAAAGGGATGGGTTAGCTACTCCCAACGTGCCCCCCAGAGTTATTGGGGTAACACCAAAGCCAGCCCTTTCACCTACCCACAGCCCAGCCTCTTAGCTGCAACTTCCTGTTTTTGTTTTGTTTTGTCTGAAGACTGGATCTCACTCTGTTGCCCAGGCTAGAGTGCAGTGCAGTGGCACGATCTCGGTTCACTGAAACCGCCACCTCCCAGGCTCAAGCGATTCTCTCACCTAGTCTCCCTAATAGCTGGGACTACAGGCACACCCCACCACACCTGGCTGACTTTTTGTTTTTCAGATTTTTTCAATTTTTTTTTTTTTTTTTTTTGAGACAGAGTCTGTCTCTGTTACTCAGGCTGGAGTGCAGTGGTGTGATCCCAGCTCACTGCAACCTCTGCCTCCGGGGTTCAAGTGATTTTCCTACCTCAGTCTCCCGAGCAGCTGGGATTATAGGCATTTGCCAGCCACCACACCTGGCTAATTTTTTGTATTTTTAGTAGAGATGGGGTTTCACCACATTGGTCAGGCTAGTCTCAAACTCCTAACCTCAAGTGATCCGCCCACCTCAGCCTCCCAAAGTGCTGGGATTACAGGCATGAGTCACTGTGCCTGGTCTTTCTTTTTCAACTTTTAATAGAGATGAGGCCTCACATGCAGGAGATTGAGACCATCCTGCCTAATATGGTGAAACCCCATCTCTACTGAAAATACAAGAAAATTAGCCGGGCATGGTGGCACAAGCCTATAGTCCCAGCTACTCAGGAGGCTGAGCAGGAAACGCATGAACCTGGGAGGCCAGAGGTTGCAGTGAGGAGGATGATTGAGTCACATGCACTCCAGCCTGGGTGACAGAGTAAAGACTCGTCTCAAAAATAAAAAAAAAAAGAAAGAAATGGGCTCAAGTGACCACCCACCTCGGGCCCCTGCAACAGTTTGGGATACCAGGCATGTGCCACCACACTCAGCTCCCACTCCTGTTCAAAGCCCACTTGCTCAAAGGTCTCATGCCCTAAGCTGTGGGGAGATGCTCACCATGGGTCACATCCGCTTTATCATGGTGCCAGGTCCATACCAGGGCGATGCCCACAGGATGGGCGCAAGGAAGAACCTCCTGACCACTTTTGGCCTCCAAAGTGGGGTTAAGGTGTGAGCCACCGCACCCGCCCAAGAACTAACTTTTTTTTTTTTTTTTTTTGAGATGGAGTCTCGCTCTGTCGCCCAGGCTTGGAGTGCAGTGGCGGATCTCAGCTCACTGCAAGCTCCGCCTCCCGGGTTCAGCCATTTTCCTGGCTCAACCGCTGAGTTAAGCTTGGGATGTGCGCAGGCTTGAGCCACTGCGCCGGCTTTTTTTTTTTTTTTTTTTTTGGAGATGGAGTTTCACTCTTGTCATCTAGGCTGGAGTGCAATAGTGCGATCTTGGCTCACTGTAAACTCTGCCTCCCAGGTTCAAGTAATTCTCCTGCCTCAGCCTCCTAAGTAGCTGGGATTACAGGCGTGCACCACCATGCCCTGCTGGTTTTGTATTTTTTTAGTAGAGATGGGGTTTCACCATTGCTGGCCAGGCTGGTCTCGAACCCCTAACCTCAAGTGATCCGCCTGCCTCAGACTCCCAAAATGCTGGGATTACAGGTGTGAGCCACCGTGCCCGGCCCAGCCCAAGAACTTTTTAGAGTGTTAGCTATTAAGAAATAATAAAGCAGGCCTACACTCCTACCCTTAGGGCAGCCCCTCAGCTACTCTGTAAGGCCCCCCGGAACATCATTTCCCTCCCAACAGAGTCCTGCTGCCTGTGTTCTCTGCACCAGAGCTTCACCTTGGCCAACCTTCCACAGCACGTCTCAGCTCCTCTGTTTGGCTTCAGCTTCTGCTGCAACCTCCCAGGAGCTCAGCTAAGTTTTCCAAGTTCCCCAGATCTCAAGAATCAATTGAGAGCTTGCTAAGAGGAAAAGAAAAAAAAAATCATTGAAAAGATTGCTAGGCCCCACCCCAAATTTACTGAATCATTATCCACAGGGGTGGGTGTGGGTCCAGGAATATGGTTTTGTTTTTAAAGGGCCCTGGAAGATTCTTACCAGCCAGGAGGCCTAAATAGTATTTCTCTAGCCTCTCCGTTGGTCTTCACACTGACTCCATTAGAACCACTTGGAGAGCTTCTAAAACTAGCACTGCAGTGCAGGGGGTCTTGTTTCTGAAACACCAGGGCCTTCATCTTCATTCTTCTCCGCAGAAAGCCAATCACTGAGACAACAATTATTGGGCTTTAACTGGGTGCTACAGCCTAGGAGATATAAGATCAGTCTCAAATCCATCTCCCTGAGTGACTAAAATCAAGAGTTAACATATGTATGCCGGGCGCGGTGGCTCAAGCCTGTAATCCCAGCACTTTGAGAGGTCGAGATGGGTGGATCACGAGGTCAGGAGATCGAGACCATCCTGGCTAACTCGTTGAAACCCCGTCTCTACTAAAAAATACAAAAAATTAGCTGGGCGTGGTGGCGGGCGCCTGTAGTCCCAGCTACTGGGGAGGCTGAGGCAGGAGAATGGCGTGAACCTGGGAGGCGGAGCTTGCAGTGAGCTGAGATCCGGCCACTGCACTCCAGCCTCGGCGACACAGCGAGACTCCGTCTCAACAACAACAAAAAAAGAAGAGTTAACATAGAGGGAAGAAATGTAACAATGTGTAAGAAAACAAGAACTAGGGGCTGGCACTCATGCCTGTAATCCCAGCACTTTGGGGGACCGAGGCAGGTGGATCACGAGGTCAGGAGTTCGAGACCAGCCTGACTAACATGGTCTACTAAAAATACAAAAATTAGCCAGGCGTAGTGGCGGGCACCTGTAATCCCAGTTACTTGTGAGGCTGAGGCAGAAGAATTGCTTGAATTCAGGAAGTAGAGGTTGCAGTGAGCCGAGATCGTGCCACTGAACTCTAGCCTGGGCGACAGAGCAAGACTCCATCTCGGAAAAAAAATAAAATAAAATAAAAAGAAAACAAGAATTACGGAGAAGGAAGCAAGCAGGGTGAATGTGGGTTCTGGCATCTTGTTGTCTGGATGCCTTGATCTGATGAGTTTCCGTTTTCTGATACTGTTTTTGAGAGGCCTGAGTGTCCTTTCCTGACAAAGGAACTCAGATAAAACAAATGTTAAATTTCAAGCTTTAAGACCAAAAGGGTCCATTTCTATGTTTATTTAAAAAAAAACAAAACTGTCTATGGGACTATTGCATCAGTTTCGGTCTCAGTCCCCAGGGATGGATTGAAGAGGCAAAGGTGACTCAGGTATTCTGCTGGTGATTCTAAGACCTCTGAGTTGGTGATTAATATGCATAAGAGCAATGGGATGGGGCTCAGGAATCTGTGTTTCCCACCTTGTCCCCAGGAGATTCTGTTGCTAGTGACACAGAAGCCCACACTGAGAAATGCTTTTCCTTTTTCTTTTCTTTTTCTTTTTCTTTTCTTTTTTTTTATTTTTGAGAGTTTTTCACTCTTGTTGCCCAGGCTGGAGTGCAATGCGCAATCTCGGCTCACTGCAGTCTCCGGCTCCTGGGTTAAAGCAATTCTCCTGCCACAGCCTCCCTAGTAGCTGGGATTACAGGCATGCGTCACCACGCCTAGCTAATTTTGTATGTTTAGTAGAGACAGGGTTTTGCCATTTTGGCCAGGCTGGTCTTGAACTCCTGGCCTCAAGTGATCCACCCACTTTGGCCTCCCAAAGTGCTGGGATTACAGGCTTGAGCCACTGCACTGGGCCAATTTTCATTTTTTTGAGATGGAGTTTTGCTCTGTTGCCCAGGCTGGAGTGCAATGGCACAATCTCAGCTCACTGCAACCAATTCTCCTGCCTCAGCCTCCCAAGTAGCTGGGATTACAGATGCCCACCACCATGCCCAGTTAATTTTTGTATTTTTAGTAGAGATGGCGTTTCACCATGTTCATCAGGCTGGTCTCGAACTCCTGACTTCAGATGATCCAGCCTCCCATTACATTCAGATGATCATGCCTCTCATTACAGGCATGAGCCATCGCGCCTAGCCCGTTTTTAATTTTTTTTTCGGGCGGGGACGGAGTCTCACTCTGTCACCCAGGCTGGAGTGCAGTGGCATGATCTCGGCTCACTGTAACCTCCACCTCCCGGGTTCAAGTGATTCTCTTGTCTCAGCTTCCCGAGTAGCTGGGACTACAGGTGACTGCCACCACACTCGGCTAATTTTTGTATTTTTTTAGTAGAGACGAGGTTTCACCACATTGGCCAGGCTAGTCTTGAACTCCTGACCTTGCGATCTGCCCGCCTCAGCACCCCAAAGTGCTGGGATTACAAGTGTGAGCCACAGCGCCTGGCCCCATTTTTAAAATTTTAAAAGACAGAGATGAGGTCTTACTGTGTTGCCAACTCTGGTCTCAAACTCCTGGGCTCAAGTATTCCCCCCGACTCAGCCTCCCAAAGGTGAACTGGGATCTTAATCCTTGTTCTGTTACTAAAATAGCTGTGTTGGATCCAACTGAAGGTTGGGGTTCTTCAGGACCGGTGGAAGGAAGGACAGGGAAGTCGGAGTGAGAAAGTACTTATACAGGAGTCTGAGAGAAGAGTCAGATCTCTCTAGGCTCAATAAACAATTTCTAGTTAGCAAGATGTTCTCATAGTCTTTGACTCCTTTTTGGAAGCAGATTTTTTTTTTCCTTGCCCTTATTACCATCTGATGTATTATATTACATATCACTATTAATTAATATATATTAATATGTCTGCTCTCCTTTGAAGGCACGATTTTGGTGTGTTTGGTTAATCCCTTATCTCTGGTTGGCACTGATCCCAGTTTACGAAGTGGTAAATGAAGTTAAAATCTCGCCCCGCCGCCCCCCCCCCGCGCCCGCCAGTTCATGCGAAAGTGAAGATTAAGCCTTGAAGCTGGGTCATTGGCAACACCCTCTTCCAAAAGAATAGCTGTTACTAGCATTAGGCATCAGCCAAGATCAACGGAAAGGTAAAAAGCCTCAGGCATCTGGGAAGGGCTGCCCCCACAGATCATTCACAGGTAAATTCTTGCTGGCCTCCCATAAACAAGGACAGGTCAATTGTAGCTTCAGGTCTACAGTCTAAGTTTAGCTCCTAAAAACTCCTCAATAAGAATGTCATCACGAGCTTATTTTCCCAGGTGCGGAACAAAGTCAAGACTCTACCTACTCAGAGACATCTGCATAACTGACTCTTCCTTTACTCTCTTTTTCTCTTCAGACATTCATCTTATCTTACGTGGATTTACCGGGCACTAGCTAAAGTCCCATAGGAATGTTAACTATTGTCCTAATCGCCTACTTGCCCTTCTTCCTACATGCGTTCCCCTCACTCCCCCTTTAAGGAAATGCATAAATACGAAACCTCCCGAAAATCTCTTCCGGAAAACAACCATGGAGGTGTCTGTGGTTCGTGTTTTTCCCGAGCACGCCCTCAAACTGGATTAGTAAGCCTCGATGATAGAGGCTTATGCCTCAGTCACTCGTTCCACTTGTCAAAGCTTTCCTCTCGTGTCTCAAACAAGCCTTCCAAACCCCCCAGGTCCTGAGCAGCTTCGCTCTGCAGATTACAAAACCGAGACTCAGAGGTTAAGTTGCTTGCCCAAGGTCACACAGACGGACTCCAGACCCCCATAATCACCTACGTAGCTGCTAAAGGACACAGTCATGTAACCCATGTGGCACAAGCGCCTTCTCCTTTCTCCTGCCCTTCGCTAACGTTAGCTTTTCCGGCGACCTCTTCTCCGCTCGCCAGCGGGTATCTGCGTCTAGCCGGGATGCCTGAGCCCCAGTGCGATCTGTTATGCTTGCAGCTTCGGGAAACACGTGCTACTCGGGTGAATGAATCGAACGTCCCCACCCCCGCCGACAGCCAATAACTGCAAGTTGCAGCCCGGCCACTTCCGCCTATTGCGGGCGTCGGCCAGGGTCCGGCGGCCCACGTGAGGCTCCCGAGACAAGGGAGTAGGCGGTGGTGCGCCAGGGGCGGGCTCTCCCAGCCTCGCCACTAATCCAGGCGCTCGCCGGGGACGGGAGGGGCGGGGCTGACGTGGGGCGCCAAGGCTTAAACGTGACGGACAGGCGGGCGCAGGGCGGAGTCCACAGCCGAGGGGCGAGGAGTGACGGAGAACACTGCCCAATAACGGGAGGGGTTGGGCTGCCTGGGCCAATAGGAAGTCCGTAAGGCGGGGCCGGGACTGCAGCAAGTTCGGTTGCACGGAGACCGCAGCTGTTCTCTGTCAGTGGAGGCAGCGGCAGTAGAGGCGGCGGCGAGGACTGGCAGCGGCGAGGAGGTGAGTGTCTGCCGCGCTCCGCACGGTCCTCTTCCCGCGGCGGGTCGGAGCGGGTGGACGTGCGCCGACGCCGCCGCGAGGGACGTTTATGTAAGGGTCGCGCGCGCAGAGGCGGCGCGGGCTCCGCGAGTGACGGCTGGAGGAGACAGCGGCAAGCGGCGCGAGGTGCGCGACGCGGAGTGCGCCGCCCCTCCCCCTCGCGCGGGGGCTCGGCCGGCTGGACCCGCCCCTGGACCCGCCCCCGTCTCCAGCCCCCAAGCGCCCGTGTGCCGCGTCCTCCCTCGGGCTGCCTCATTCTTGTTCTCGGGCCCATTTTGCAGATGGAGAAACTGACTAAAGCGCCTCGCGCGAGGTCCCTGAGGGTTCGAACCCAAGTCTGTCAGGATCGGGAGCCCAAGTTGTCCCCATCGTACTGGATATGGCTCAGCTCTGCAGGAAGCCGCGGCGTGTAAGGCGAGGGCTCTCCTTGTTCCCGGCGCTCGCACTCCGCCTCCCGTAGGATCTTCCACTTTGTTTCAGACAGGGAAGCTCCAGGCGCCCAGACGCAGTGGTTCGCCCAAGGCCGCTCATTCGGGAGGTGGGGCTGGGCTCAGCCCCTTATTTCTCCAGCTTTTAGTAGTTTACAAAGCACATCAGAGTCGGAAGCCAAGTCCCTAGGTCCCTGGCAACTTTGAGATTCTTTTCTTTTGTTTTTTTTTTTTTTTTAGACAGGGTCTTGCTGTCACCCACCCAGGCTGGAGTGCAGTGCCGCGACCTCCCGGGCTCAAGCGAGCCTCCTGCCACAGTACCCCAGTGCTGGGACTACAGGCGGGCGCCACCACGCCTAGCTAATTTTTGTATTTTTTGGTGGAGACGAGCTTCCGTCATTTTGCCCAGGTTGGTCTCGTACTCCTACGCTCAAGTGAGCGGCCTGCCCTGGCTTCCCAAAGTGCTGAGATTACAGGCGTGCCTGGCCTGAAATTCTTAAAAATCAGATTGTGTCTTATTTTGTGAGAAGAGGTAGGCCAGGGCTCCTTACCCCTTCTCCAGCTG